TTTGAGAGCTACGATTGCCAATTGGTTCCTGAAGTAATATAGGCAAATGCAGTTATTAGACTTATCCAAGTGGGAGTCTGTTGGATAAGGTGTCTAAGTCCATAACTTATTTGGTATATACTTGACCCGACCCGGCATGGTCCATTTGGGTTGCACTTCACCCAGAATATTTATGGATAATTTTATGAGAATTGTATACTTACAATTTATTAATATATTATAAGTTATAATATATTAATATAAAGTCATGTTATTTAATTAGTTTTAATCTTGAATTAATTATGAATTAATTTAGTGATTAAAAGGAAAACTAATTAAATCATGGGCTGTTACATTTATATGGTGTGGGCTAATACTCATTTGTTGATGGGCTAAGCTTATATGGAAGTCCATGGATGATCCATGGAGCTTTTAACCCATGGATACTAGGAAAGGAAAGGACATGGGTTATTAGGGTTTCACCCTAACCATGCACACCATATAAACAAGCTTATGTTGCATGAAAAAGGACCCTAGTGTGTGTGTAATAGTGGTGTCCAATTTCTAAGTGTTAGTATACTCTCTCATATATTTTCCAAGTTTGTGGTGATTTGTGATTTCCATTTGAGGCATTCACATTATTGGTGCTTGGCTCTCAAACTCCAAGGAATCAACAATCAACAAAAGGTATGTAATTCATCTAGTTCTTTTATGTTTAAAAGTACCCCATGCCATGCTAGATAGGTTATAAACCTTGGAACATAATATTTTGCAAGTACCTGAGACAAACATAGATCCAAGGTTTATTACGGTTTCATGTACACTTAGGAAGTGTTGGAATGCTCAAAACCCATCAAGAACATCTTGGACCGTAAACACCTTGTTCTTGGTGTTTCTTGGGCGTTTTCTTGATGTATGGAAGTGTAACAAGCTCTATAAGACTCTAGGATAGAAGTACTTACTATGTAGAAGCTTGAAAAGGTGCTAAAGGCCCAAGAACACTAGTGTGTGTTCTTGGTGTTTTGAAGATCTAAGCAAAACACGAAAATGCATGGATGAAATGATGTATAAACACTAGGTTTTATGTTATAAAAACAAATCAAGTCAAGAAACACTTACATTTTCAAGAGATCGGGTGAAAGACGGGATGATAGTTGAGAGCGTTTTGAGGTTTGGAAGTGTGAAAAATGGCAAATAATGACTAAGTGTCATATATACCCCCACACTAGGGTTTACGGCCGTAAAATCCAAACTCTTGGAGTTTTGGAGTCATATTGTTGCACAATAAACCCTAGGGCATCCTCTCTCCTGATATTTCCTGAAGTACTAAACTTAAAACCCTCAAACTTAATCCAAAAAGCTTGAAAGATAACAGAAACTGTTCTGACTTCTATTGAATTGAATGGTTGTACAGAATAGAAATTTTGGGTTGTCACACCTTGGTCATGTCAAGGTACTTCTCATAATTTTCCCAACCATTCCCACGTTTTAGAGCTGGAACAACTCCCTCTCTCTCTCCTCATTCTCACTCACTTCTCTCATTTACACCAAAGATCAAACCCATTTTTCTCTCAAATTCTCTCACACAAATTCGAGATTTCCAAGGCATTTTCCAACTTTTCTTCTTCATTTGGTAAGTATCATCACCCTCCTTATGGTTATTCTCGGATCTTCAAGCAATCCTTCAAGTGTTCATGAGTTGAACACTTCTCTCCTTCAACATCCATCCACTGAAATCACACAAGGTAAGTTCATACCCCTACATTTTCATGTTTTCTTAAGTTTTAAGGGGGGGGGGGCGATACAAGTTAAATCACCAAGAACACAACTAAATGCTGATAACAGCTTTCATCAGAAACGTTGGGTTCCATTTACGAACTGTTTTGATCACCTTAAACATTTTAGTGTTCAAAACTGTTTTAGGTGCAAGGTGCAAGTAGTTCCTCTTCTTAGCTTTAAAATGGTTACTTTCACATCTCCATAAGATTTTTTTACAATTTATGGTGATTTTTACAAAACTGCCTATCATTTCAAGAACCAATCCGGACCAGTCTGTGATTATGGACGTTTTCACCTAAGTTGGAGGTCACTAAAAATCATGGTAAAATTTATGAACAAAGTAGACTCATTTTACAAACTCCCAGAATTTACGGATTATTATTTGGACCTGTTATGAATTTTCTATAAATTTTCTAAGAATAGTAATAGAAAATGTTAACAACTGAAAAATGCTATCAATTTCATTTCACCTTGTAACATGTCGAGCAAGGTGTATATCTTTATGTGAATATATGTTATTGAAATAAATGACACTTTGTCTTAATATATAGAAATGCATCAATTAACAAATGGATTTGGATATATAGAACATAAAAGATAACAAATTGTTATAATCAAAGTACATGCATTACATACAAACATTTGAATAAACTATGTTAAGTATAGTTTACGTATATTACCACTACTACACTTGTTTTGATAGACTATAATAGGTATAGTTTATGATACATTACTAACACACTCATACAAAAAGGGTACATTTATACAAAAGGGATTTTCATTACATTACACGTAAATTCGTTAATGACTTCGTGAGACATTCGCTTGACATTTACCAATAAGTCTTGTATTGTAACCAGAGTCTCCTAGAGGGAGAGCATGATAGTTGTGTATAGATCTATATTGGGTTTGACAAACCCACACCTTAACTGCATGCAACAGTTAGACCGGCAGGTCTGGGGTGACAAATGTCATAACATTTCCGACGCCTGAAGAACGTTGTTTCAGGCCAACTAGGTCATAGCATGGTTATAATAACTCACATAAAGTATTAACAAACATATGAATTTACGGGAATTTCATTGAAATTAAAAGAGTTTACGTTGATTTAAACATGCATTATTTACTATAAGTAATAAAGGTTAGTTATACATTTCGGTCTCTGGACATGAGACTACATTACACATTTTAAGGAAAATATCGGATTTTTCTGGATCAAACATTACTTTTACAAGAGAAAGGCTTTTATCAATTCAAAACAAAAGCTTATGAACTCACCAAACTTTGTGTTGACACTTTTTCAAACAACGTGTATTCTCAGGAAATCACTAAACAGGTAACCAAGTGCATTTTGAGGATGGGACGTTAAGGCGTCAAACATTTCACATTTTTGTGAACATATTGTAATTGATTTGGAAACATGTAATTCATACAATGATGTAACTCTTTCAATTATATATATGTTGGTTGTGTTTGCTTGAATTACTATTGCAATTGTGGTTACGATACTATACATGAAGTCCTCCACCCCTGGACGTTTCCGTCATCCTTGGTTTGGGGGTGTGACAGATTGGTATCAGAGCACGGTTTATAGTGAATTAAGTATATCAAACCACATAAGATATACAAACTATAAACACATTTAGGACTAAAAGTCTCTGATTTTAAAACATTTTATTGGGATATACTTATAGAAAATAAATATTTTTCTTGTTTAAAGTATACATACATGCATTACATACTCGCATAGTGTCATAACTAGGAGAACATAAAGTAAAAGAAGAGGAGTTGTACACTATGAGTATGCCTTAGTATATGTGAATCAAGTCTGGGAGGGATATAGCCTGATCAACTATATCTGTCCGAGAAGTGACTTAAACATACCGGGGGATAGTCATAGTGGGCAACAAATCTAACCACCTAACTACACCCTATGCAGAACGCTCTATGTACCAAATCTAAACACTTAAAATACTATAGGAGTATTTGTATGTTGCTATAGCACAATATTATTATTATTAACCGTTACATGCTTCTTACACCCCTATTCTCGCACAGACGACATGTCAGGATTCCACTTACTAGGAGACCCATACTTTCCTAATCAGGGAACCGTTGGTTGGATCAAAGAAGAGCCCGAAGAACTGATCGAAGAGGATCCCGAAGAGGATCCTGAAGAAGAACCCAAAGAGGAACTCGATGAGGAACCAGAGGAAGAGGAAGAAGAAGAAGAAGAAGAGGAAGACATTGAGGTAGACATGGATGAGGACGAAAGTGAAGAAGAACCAGAGGTCATCAATCCTCCATATATAGCCAGAGTTCCCACCAATTGATACGACTTCTTCGGACCCGTACCTCGATGGGCGACCACAATTGAGGGATGGGGTCGCCGTCAACGACAACGATCACCATACGGAGGTCAACAAGGTTACTATGACCTTAGCCACGGAGAACCAGCCGATAGAGCCCTCCCAGTCATGACTCAACAGATAGCGATTATGGAGAATCGCGGTAGGATGACGACCGATCAGGTCCGAGAACTAAGTGTCATCATAGATTCTACCATTGCTCGCACCAGAGACCTAGAACGAGACTCCCATTACAGAGATCAACTCATTCAGGACCTTCTCGCTGCTCGAGCAGAAGCAAGGGAGTATCGGGAAAGATACTTGGCGCTTGAGGAGAGAATGGTTGCAACTGAACGGAGATTAGCAGAACTGCAATGTGCATCGACATCATCCCAAGCTCCATCAGGAAAGGATCATCGGGAGTAGGACTCATTACTACTCACACATCTTCTTAGTATAGGTTTATGAGCATGCGTTGGTGCTACTCTGTTGTATGTAGTTTGACCCTGTGATTAAGTGATTACACTATTTAAAGGACTTTTGTGCTATCAAAAGTATCTTTTACATTGATGTAATGTGGACCCTTATGAGGTCAAATTTTTTCCAAAAAAATATGTACTAAAAGTTTATCAACGAATTTGGCATGCATTTTACTTCATTAGAGGTTGACATGAGACTTTACTATGTGGTATTACAAACAATTTACAACTGATAACTCTAAGATTTTTAAGTGTACCTCGTTGTTATGTGTAATTAAAGAAGTAATCGACCTAGAAATGGTGAGTCCACCTTAGGACCTGTTCCTTCTTTGGTTGTGGACTTAGGGCAGACTCATTAGTATCAAAATCTTATTAAAATTTTAATTACAGATGATTGGGGCACATCGAGCGAATCTTAGGAGTGGGTCAGACGCGGAACCGAACACATGACTCCGTTTGAGTCACCACTATTTAATTCATGAGTTTAATTGCATAAACTTTTTCTATGAATTACTCGCTAATGCAATAAATTCGGGATATAACACAAATGAGATAAAACAAGTAACAGTCGACTCGTTATTACTATTGAAGTGTTACCGACTTGTCATTTTAAAAATTATGACAGAACTATGCCGCCAAGGAAAAGACCAAGACCTTCCAGCAGCGCAACACCACCTCCTCCGCCGCTGCCTCCACAATATGATCTGACAATGTTCCAGGCTGCAGTAACAGCAGCTGTGGCAGCAACTATGTCACAAATCGGCACTAATGGAAATGGTGGATCCGGATGGTGCTACACCCTTTTACCAGGGTGACAGTTCGGGGCGCACAAAGGAATGCACCTACAAGGACTTCACAAATCGAAAACCTGATACCTTCAATGGGAGCGGGGGCGTCATCACATTGATGCAATGTTTCGAAAGGACCGAAGCAGTCTTCAAAATCTGTGCTTGTCCCGAAACGAGCAAGGTCAAGTATGCGGCATTCACGCTCACCGGTAAGGCTCTCACTTGGTGGAATGGCTGAGTTAAGTCACTTACTCCAACAGTGGCTAACTCCATAAGCTGGGAAGACTTGAAAGCGTTAATGCTAAAGGAGTATTGCCCGAGGGGTGAAATACAAAAACTCGAAGAAGAACTGTGGAACCTCCGAATATCAGGCACAGATCTTGAAACTTACACTGCTCGATTCAATGACCTAGCACTCATGTGTCCAACAATGGTCACTCCAGAGGAGAAAAAGGTGGAACGATACCTCTCAGGGATATCATCCCAGATTCAGGATAACCTACTGGCCTCGAAACCTACTACCTTTGAAAGTAAAAGAAAAAATGAAAAAAATGAAAATATTGAGTACCTTTGATTGAAGAAGTAATAGACATGAAAGTCTATTCCACATTGGTGGGATCTTTTGAATTGGTTTCTAGGAAAGGAATTCCTAGTCCATTTCACTGGATACAAAGAACAAAAAATTGAATTTAGAAATTAATTTTTCTTTGTGTAATTCAAGTACTCAATGAAAAAAGACAAAAACAAATCTAAGAAGTCCAATACTAAAAAATACAAAAATTTACCATTTGGAATAACGGGGTGTGTCTCGGAGCTTGGTCCAGCAACCAATCCCTAACAAAACAATAATTAGGTTTTAATTTTATAAGCAATTCTAACACTACGTGAATAAAATTTGATTTACATGTGAATCACATGTAGTTCATGTGTGATTCGTTTGTGATTTACATATGAATCGCATGTAATTCGTAAGTGATTTACTTGTGATTTACATGTGAATTACATGAGATTCATATGTGAATCACATGTAATAAGTGTATTTGATAAGTTATATATGAGTCTTTTTTATTTTATTTTTTACTTAATTGACATAATGAGAACCAAACTTAACTCCATAAGATAGATATGCGTGCTTCTTTATGATTTAATTCAGAAAGAACTTAATACAATAATACAAAAAGCTAACGAAAGAAAGGTTTTTTTATTCCCATTAAGTCCTAATTATTAACTAATTTCCAAACTTTTTTTAAGTAAAAAAATAAGAAAATCAGAAAGGTTGCAAGTTGTATTTGTTTTATTTAAAAAAATAGATTACTAGACTAATAGCATTATTTTCATGACCATATTAAAAATATTGAAATAACAAACCTGCCATGCAAACCGCTGGCCATTCATGTCTACTTCAAAATCTGATGAACAAAAAAATTTAATCATGAAATTTAAGTTTAAAAAACTTCACACCTATTTATAAAGTACAAAAATTCTCATGTTTTCATACCTGTTGGATAAAAATCAACAATTGACGAGTTTGGATATGTCACTAATTTTCTATATTGTTCTGGAAGTGCATGTGCACTACAAATATTTTCAGGGTAAAAAGAAAACAATAAACAATGTTAGAAAATATAAAATATAAAATAATCTTGAAAAAAATATGAAAAGGTAAAATATAAATGGATGACATTAACCTTGCAGTAGGAAAAGCCCCTAGTAGCAGATTAAATGGTTTAAAATGCGAACCTAGCTCAAAGATTATATTTAACTTATTAAGATCCTTGATATCAGAAGAAAATGATGCATAATGGTAAATATAAAACCTAAAAAAAGAGTTGGAAATAAAAAATTAGAAAAAAAACATAACAAACCTTATATGATGCAAATATGTCCGACTGAAAAGGCTAAAACAATAATACACACCTTAAAGGTGAAAAAACCTTATATAATGCATTTTGGAGAAATAACTTTTAAAGGATTCTAGTTCTTCATCAGCTTAGAGGAATACGATCTCTAAATCACCTTTTGGAATGAGTTCTTTATATACTTCAACTGGGTTTGGGGTAAACCTTTGACATAGGCCACACCATGATGCAGAAAAATATAAGTGCAACGTTTTACCATTCAAGGTGTCGATTGTAACCTGGAAATTCCAACATTTAGCAATAAAACACCTAATTTTAAGTTTTGTGTAACTACTTCATATAGAAATCTAATCCAAGTATAACTACTTCACATATGATTTCTAATTTATTATTGCCATTGGCCAATTAATTACTGTACACTAATAGTCCGACATCATATTAATCATAGCTGAAACTGTGAAAATTCATTTTCACCATATTAGGGATATGCATTTATGAACATATATGAAAATGTGAAAGATCGACATATGCCCCAATTCTCAAGTTTATTAATCAATTATCTAGTTTAATAATAATTTCAAGTAAGTCTACTTTTTCGATACATAAGCACAAAAGGTAAAGAAAATTTCTTAACTCCATGAAAAATAAGTAAATTAGAAAGATTCCATTTATAAAATCAAAACTTAAATCCTAAAAAGAAGTATGATAATGTGCCTAGTTAAAGGATTAAAAACTCAAATCCTAAAAACAATATAAAAAACATTACCGATTACATAACTTCAAAGAATTAACAATTGATATTTTTTCAAATTAACAAATTAGTCAGAAGCATTATATTGAATAGCGGCTCTGATATCTAGTCTAGATCCTTATGTTATCTTTATTATATCTCACCCACTACATTCATTTATCAGCTACATTCATTTATTATATGCTTGTGTTATTTGCTATATTTTTTTATTATAAGTGGCGTATTACCAACACAAATGTTTCAAAAGACGATCAATATTTTCTTATTAGTTGTTAGTTTTATTTGATATATATTTTATTATAAGGGAATATTACCCACACAATTGTTTCAAAAGACAATCAATATTCACTTCGAGAAAGAATGGAGGAAAAAGTTTGACAAACGATAATTAAAGACGAATTGTTCAATAGTTAACTAGGGCATTTTGTCAAACAACTAATAGGCAATACAACCCGTCTCTTTAAATCGAACATGTATAGGCCAATAAAATCAAACTGATAATATGATATAGAGAAGTATAAAATATTAAAAATCAAAAAACACACCTTAAACTGTAATTAACTCCTTATTATATTGTGAAATAAGTCCTATGATTAAGAATAAGAATTAGTCTTCAATGATTGAACAAAATTTCACTTGGTATACTTAATGATGAACTCGACATGGAAGCATTTATGGTGATGAACAAGCTGAGACGAAAGCTTTACATCAAAGCAATGTCTCTTGAAATCAAACACATATAGACAAAGCAACATGTGTCTGCTACTGATGGTGGTGGAGTGATGCAACTCGATGATGTTGATAGAATGATTCATGGAGAAGTATTGAAGGAATAAGGGAGGTGATTATGGTGTAGGTTTTAAGGGAGGCAACGATGATGTAGCTTTGGAGGAGGTGATGGTGGTGATGTTGTTTCTAGGGGAGATCAGTGAAGTTAGTGAGAGAAACCAACATAGGGTGAGGAGAACATGATTTATGTTTATATGATTTCTTCCCCTATGGCATAAACTCAAATAATCAATTCTATATTTAGATCGATGAAGATCATTTTACTTTTTGTTATATTCTGATACAATGGATCGATGAAATAGATTTTGATTCCCGATCTACGGTGGCGACGTTAGGTGATGCCGATAATGGAGGATGAGATAGAGAGACAGTGGAAATATTAGGTCATCGTAGTGGTGGTAAATGAAGGAAATAGTGGTAAGAAATCGTAGGCGGTGGTCATTGACAGAGGTAGGGTGGTTGTTAGAGGGCGAACGGAGGAGGTCGACGTAGTAGGGAGGATGCCGGTGAAGAACACGAGATATTGAGAGAAAGAAACGAGAGAGAGAGAGAGAGAGAGAGAGAGAGAGAGAGGGAGGGAGGGAGAGAGAGGCTAATTGAATTTTCAATTAACAAGTCATTTATTTTTTTAAAATTTTTTAGTATACCATATTTACCCTATGGTCTATTGCTAAAAACCTAATATACCATTAAATTTAGTAATATTTACAAAGTATGTCACTAATCATCTAATCCGTTCAAAGAATTGATCCAACGTTCCATTTTTAGTTCTTGGGTTTCCGGAAAACTATGAGTTGTCAAATAATCCTTCATCTCTCTCTCTCTCTCTTCCTCTCTTTCTCTCTCTCTCTCTCTCTCTCTCTCTATATATATATATATATATATATATATATATATATATATATATATATATATATATATATATATATATATATATATATATATATATATATATATATATATATTGAAGATAAGGAAATTGACGATTCTAGCACCTGGAAAAAACTTAAAGCCCTATACCCTATCTCTCATCAAATAAATCATATTCTAAATAAACAAATAAATAAACCAATAAACTTCTAGCCAACTTGCCTATATGATTTCAGATAAGTTATACTACTTGCATAGCATCACCTTCCATCTTGTTCCTTAAATTACTAGACTAAAATAAAATTACTCATAACTGGATAGTTACCACTCTATCTTTAACTAACTAAGGACATCAAGCTGCAAGTCGTAAATCCATCGAGATTTCATCAAATCTTGCCAAAGATTTGTAACCATTTTACACATCCTCTCATCTTAAATATCGACCACCCTCCCTCATTACTTTCCTTAATTTTCCAACAAACTCTCCCAAATATTAGACTCCAACTCCATCACCTTTCAACCCCTTTTTGGTAACTTATTGTGAACCTAAGAAGAAACTACGTAAATTCTTTATTATTATATTTTTTCTATCATAAAACTAACTTGTAGTAACTAAAATAAAACTTAATGGATGTCTAACTTATTGTTAATTTATGCCTTATGTATTAAGACCTCCCAAAAAAAAATTCAAATCTCAAGCCTCGGTGGAGCTGGAAACATCTCGACTTCCTCGAACCAAATACTGTCACGCGAAAAAGTGAGTATCTACGATCCCATTTTACCTTTTAAATAATTTCCGCGGGGGGGAGGGGGGGGAGGGGGGGGGGGCACATGACCGATTTTGTCATTTAAACTCGTTAACACTTATTTAAGTTTACTTACATTTTATGTTATATTTAAGTTTATATTCCATTTTATGCTAATATGTAACGTCCCTGGTATGCATTTAATTTATTCAAGTATTTATTTTGTAAGAGATACTCGACGAGTTGGTAGCCCTAACTTGTCTAGTAGAAGACAGTTTATGCGTAGGTGTTAAGTGAGCTACTCGATGAGTCGGGGTTTTGACTCGGTGAGTAGGATAGGCTAGATGAAACCCTAATCTTTAGGGATTGCAACACCCCGATTATTAAATAAATAAATAGATAAAGTTGATGAATGGATAGTAGCTCTAAAATCAATAATTATATAGTAAGGTGTTGGTTTTGAGGAGTTACTTGGCATAATTTAGAAGTTGAGGGTTTAAAGTGTAAGTTCCTGACTGACTTTGTAAATATTTGTGAAGGCAGGGACTACTTGGTAAATTATGGGGACTTGATTTGAAGAGATTTTGGAAGCTAAGGGTTGAATGGTATCTTATAGACTTAATTGGAAAATCAATTTGTGGAGGAGGGGCTGTTTAGTAACTGTTGGATTAATTATGAAAGGAATTTATGGGAATAGGGGCTAAAGTGAAATTTTTGGATTGAATTTGAAATAATTTCATGAGGGGAGGGGGGATACTGCCATAATGGATGGATGTTTCAAGGGCGCCGAATATTTAATCAAACTCTTAACCCTAACCCTAGGCGAAGGAACCGCTGCCACTTCCACTCATTTAATCTCCGGTGCTGCACACCACCTCCGTTGAGGTTGTCAACCATCAGAAACCGCCATAGCGTTGCTGCCAGATGTCTTGCCCCCCCCCCCCCCCCCCCGAGTGTTGTTGCCCACTGTAACACTAGTCAAAATAGGTCAATAACAATCACATGTGATTATACCAATCATGTTATGTGATTTTGTTAAACTAGTAATGTAGTAAACTCACTATGTATTTCATGATAATTCTAATATAATTATGAACTTTCATACATACTTTATGGTATAAATCAAAGTATACGTCCATACAATTCCAAAAATATAGAGAACATCTAAATCTGACTTTGCATGAAGAAGTTATGATAATCCGAACAATATAAAACCCCTATAACATAAAGAATTTAAAATAGAATTAGAATTAGATATTTGAGTCTAAATGATAGTTTTAGTACTCGTAAATACCTACGCGTGGATATAAAGAACGTAAAAAATGGAGTTCGTATGCAAAAGTTACGACATTCCAAAGTTACAGCTATCTAAGTACACGACACGTGTTAGAAACCCTAATCTGAATGGACTCACGATGTGAGCCTAAAAACTCACGAAGTGAGGAGTCAAACCACCTCATTTTGCTTCTAGAAGTCTACAGAACGATAACCCAAAAGCTCACAACGTGAGCTAGGTTTTCTCACGACGTGAGGACGCTGCAGGACACTATTCAAGGCTAGAAAACACACGTTAAAGCTACGGGATGACTCTTGCCATAACTCACGACGTGAACCTATCATTTCTCACGTCGTAAGGGCCAAAAATCTTACTATAAATATCAAGTTCGACCTCAGCCATTCTTGCACCTGATCTCCTTCCTCCTCTCTCCTTTGCTGAAGCCGTTTCGCTTCCCGAGCCCCGACGACCTCATACCGCTAACCGTTTCTGCTTGGATTACATAAAACCACGTTACTAAGGTGAGTTTCATGGCCCCACTTTCTAATATTTCGGGGGAAAACACATGCTAAATATTATATATACATTAATATTATGTCTATATGATAGTATATCAGTATTAACATAGATAGTTATAATAACCGAGATATAGTTATTTCGTATCTGAAAGTATACAACTATCGTAAAGTTGTTAGCATGTTATTGTCATAGTAGTATACTAATGTAGATATTGAGTTATACTTAGGATTCTATATATATATATATATATATATATATATATATATATATATATATATATATATATATATATATATGTTGTGTGCGATATAGTTCCAGAGTTATACTCGGAAGTTCTATATGTTAATTGATAAGTATGTTGTTATTATTCGTTTTATGTCAACATAAAACCAGGTATGTTATATGTTGGTGTTATTGGTTTTATGTCAAGATAAAACTTGGTTTTAATTCTAATTATAGTTGTTGTACTACCACAAGGTGTAATCATTGTGCTACCGCAAGGTGTAATCCTTGTACTACCGTAAGGTGTAATCCTTGTACTACCACAAGGTGTAATCCTTGTTCTACCGTAATGTGTAATCCTTATACTACCGCAAGATGTAATCCTTGTACTACCACAAGGTGTGATCCTTGTAATAATAACCAGAGGTATAAAGCTAAGTCATATAGTCGTAGCCACAAACTCACAGTAGCATAACTTTAGAAGCATTATACTTTGTCGATATACAAGTATGAATGTTAAGTATAAGTTTCCCAAAGACTTATACTCTAAGTATAAGAATCTAGTAGGTATATTACTTGTATATTAAGTAGACCATTATACCTATCCTACTTACTCGTATAGAATTGAAATAGATTTATACGTAGCGGTTTTACTCGTATAGAATTGAAATAAGATTTATATGTAGCAACATAGTTTGTATGGAATAGAAAACATTTATACTTATACTCTAGGTTCAAAGAACATTTAGGTATAACACTTATTTGGTAACTAAACCATTATACCTAGGATATATATATACTAAATGTTTGAGAGTCAAAATGATACTTTCAAAACTATACTTTTTGAACTTGGAAAATGTATTATTTTTATATGGAGTCAAAACCTGTGAACTTACCAACTTTATGTTGTTGTATTTTTAAAATGCATGTGTTTTCAGGATGTTGATAACTATAATATGAGAAATGACGTTACACCGCCCGGTGTTTCCGCCGACGGCCGGGGTGTGACAGATTGGTATCAGAGCTATTAACTATAGTGAATTAGTACTCTCTTAGGAAAGCACGACTATAGTTTAGGGCTTACTCTGTTAGGTTTAGGTATATCCCTTAGCCTACAATATAAAGTATTGGTAATTATACTACCGAAGGACTACTTACGGGAGCGGTGACAAGGATAGACATAACGATTTGGGTTGCTGGATTTCAGAACGGTTATATGCTAAAATGATCCTGCCCTTTGACTGTCCTGACTGGTCGGTGCTTTATCAGCTAGACGTGAAGTAACAAACAATAATTAATAGAGCATGAATACAACAAATAATAAATATAGTCATATATGAAGACTCAGGCCTGCGATGAGAATACACCTAAATATCTAGAATGTTTTTGATCT